ATTCGCTTGATAGACGGTAACTTGATAAACACGAACTAAAGATTAAAAACAGTTCGATCGAAATTCAACCATACTGACCGTTAAAGACTGTTAGGTTCCAACACAAAACACGAGCGTGTTACTCCTTAAATTCCAACTTCATAAAGATTTTTTTCACGTTCCTAAAGCGGTTCAGGGTCCACGTGCGAATCCAAAATACCCGTATAAAGAGATCACGTGACGTAACAAAACGAAAGCTGAGAAGGCGTTACAAAGACCGCTCCCTCAGATTTTTTTTCAATGATTTTCCCTTTTCCATTCTTAATCTACCTGAAAGCGCTGCTCCTGTTACTTTCCGTTTAAGGAGGGTGAAAATATAGCGTCTTCCCTTAAAAATCCTACAGCTCTTTCCTTTGCTCGCGCTCTGAACAATGTTTGAAGATAAAATACAGGGTTGTGAATGGACTAGAATTTGAAGGCCCATTATTTCTTTGGGCACTTCACTTTTTCCCTGCAGCCCACGCGGTTTTTGCGTGACACAAACCACTCATGCGCAGTTTTTCGGCATCACAAACAATAAACGGTTGTTTTAGTTGGCAATTCGTGATGGAGTCGCTTCTTAAAAACCTCAAAGAACATGTAACATGCTCGATTTGTTTGGATACTTACACCAAACCCAAGACCATTGCTTGTCTTCATACATTCTGCTGTGCATGCCTGGAGAGACATGCACTAATGAGACAAAAACAAGGGCTTTATCCATGCCCCGAGTGTCAGGCACAAATTCGCATCCCTGAAGGCAATGGTTTTGATAATCTGCCGAGCAGTTTTCTGCACAACAGTTTATTGAGTCTTCTTGCCGTTCGACGCAGTGGCGAAGGAAATGAGATCAGCTGTAGTACATGCCAGAAGAATAGCGCTGAGATCAACTACTGCTTTGATTGCGAGAAGTTTATCTGCCCCGACTGTGTGAAAGCACACGACGTATTTCGAAATACAATGTTTGAAGGGCACAAAGTCACACCGGTGCGACAGTTTGAAGCGGCAGACTACGAGGCCTTGTTGAAACGGCAATCATTTTGCTCAGAGAAGTACCACAAAAAAGATGTGATTCGTTTTTTTTGCGTTGACTGTCAAAGATGTGTTTGTCCAGCTTGCATCGCCACTAATCACAAAGGCCACGATGTTGTTCTGATTGAAAATGCAGCGGATGATGAGAAAGCAAAGATCCTCGCTCGAACAGAGCAGGTGAGAGAGAAGAAAATGGTTTGCCGAGATGTTATTCGTGAATTTGAGAACACAGAGGTTGAGTTGGAAGCGAACATTACCACTGCTAAAGGCAAAGTTTCTCAAGCGGTCGAACAAATGATTAGAAAGCTTAAACAACTGGAGGTTGAAGCCATTACTGCCCTCGAGGAGGCTCGCGTGTCGAGGATTGAGAAATTTCTTTCTGGAAAAGCATCGGTTGTCTCTTTGGAAAAGCAACTTGAGCAAGCAGTCGAGTTCAGTAACAATCTGGTTGAGAGAAGCTCAAGCTCAGACATAATGCAAAACAAGAAGAGTGTGGAAGAACGAATCGAAGACCTCATTAAGACTACAGTGCCAGTACTTCCGGTTAACTCGTTCGTGGAGTTTGTGTCGACGTGTGAACCAGAGAGTTTGAGTCTGGGATCTATGAACTTCAGCGAAACAAAAGTGTGGGAATCGACCGTGGAAGGACTGGATCAGAATTTCCAAGCTGGTGTGGAAGCAGAGCTGTTGATTTGTCCCAAATCAAGCGAAGGAGAAATCAGAAACACTCAGTGCACAGATCATGTTGAGGTACACATAGACCCCGCTGATCAGGTGAGAAGTTTGGTGACAAGTGAGAAAGAAGACGGACATTTCCTGGTAAAAATCATGGCGAAAGTACCAGGTGTTTGTAAAATGGAAGTAAAAATCAATGGACTTAAACTTGCCAAGAGTCCGTTTTCTCTACCGGTTAAAGCACGAGAGTTCAATGTTATAGGCAAGTTGGACTTTCAGGGGGAACTTTCCCAGGGTCCAACTGGCATTGCAGTGAACAGTAAAGGTGTTAT